TAGAAGTTAACTCGGCAAGCATATTGCGTCGCCAAACCGTCACAAAATGAAGATTTGGGTGACTTCTTGAAGAGACTGCTTCCTAAAAAATCTACCGGGCTCCTGGTCAGCGAATCGCAAACTTGTTATCATCAGTGTATGTGTATACATCGACCGCTGAAGACACTGATCATTTATGTGCTGAATGCTTGGTTGTCTGGGTACCAATTGCAACCACATTGCCTCTCAGACATACCTGGCGATGTTTTCAGTATTTCGAATGGAAGTGACATTCACACTTGACTGTCCATCCGATGGAATGATGTCTTGAAATCACGGGGTTACCAGACTACCATGGAAAAACACCATAGTGATCAGAGTGGCCGAGTCTTGCACAGAAATTCATTAACTTGGCGTGTGTTTCAGTCCGTTGACAGAAACGATGCTCTAAACTGGTCTGTCGACAGAGGGTCCAGAAACGTCGATACATTTGGCTACTTATGAGTAGTGCGAAACAACAAACTTCTCAAGTCGCAGTACCTCTCCAAAGAATTGATTTTGACTGGTTGTACGAAAGTCTATTGTGAGAGAATCACCTCAGCTGCTAATAGTCCGATCTGTTGGAGCACTTTCTCGTCCACGTTTGGTCTGCTTAACGGGCATGCCACATAGCCCCTATCATGGCTCGGTTATAGCAGCCAGCAGCCGAAGTATTCCACGTAGATCACCTGGCAGTGTTAGGCAAAGCAAGCTTTGAACGGCCAGACAGAATCAGTTTGGGTCGAGATGACCCAAGTGGCTAGAGCGCGAGTTTACTGACCGGAAGGTTCGTGGTTCGAATCCGACCTCCGCCACTCGACTTATCTGTCTAGGCTTGGGCAACCTGGCAGTATCCCAGCCCTCGTGCTTCCTTCGGGTGGCATGGCAGCTAGGCACCGGAAGGGTGCTACAGCTGAACGCTTTGGTCATGGAGGCAGTCTCTTCGTACACATAAAACCGCGCCTTAATTATGTTGTACTGCCCACTAGTCAACCGCAGTCTTCATGGGGCTCATATGAAGTTTTGTTGCCGGATCGGCGACCTTGAGCGATAAGGTGTTTCGCCTATCGGAAGAAAAATTCGGTGAAAATTTTTTGAGATTACGGGTTTCTTTTTTCCAGGAAAAAAGCATGAGACAGTTGCTGAATTAATGCCACGATAAGAGCACCGCACAACAGTTACGGCAAACGGTTTCATCGGCAGTATCATCCTCCGTGGAGACTCATGCTGAGTGAAGCTAACCTTTGCTAAAGTGCCGACAAGCGCTGTACGGCCGTCCAATCCCTGTTGGGAATCTTCAGCGGTGTGCATCTCACGAGACTCCGGAGGGCCTCGAGCCCGCGTCCTCCTGGACTGTGGTTCGAGCACCTAACCGTTCGGCCACGATCAGCCGACCAGTTGTCTGATTATCTCGCACTTAGACAGGATAGAGCACTTACGGGATCCACATCACGCGGTCACACGTGTTGATTGGCTCCTCGAGCAACGACTTCCCAGATGGATGTTTTCTTCATCCGGTGAAGTTCATTCTTCCACCGAGCTAACCATAGATTGCTGACAGTGAGAGATTTGGGAATTTTTGTGGAGATTTCTCCCTGTGGGTGAAGGCAATCTATGCTGAAAACCCAAGAAGAATTGTACAGCTGTTTCATCCTTATTGGGAATCATCAGCAGTGAGCATCTCATGAAAACCCAGCAGAGAGCTTCGAACCCACGATCTTTCAGCCACTTAACCGTTCGGCTTGGAGCAGTGTGAGTAGTTCTCACTGAATGACAGGATACAGCGTCACTCATCCATCCAATCAAGTCACATGGTCGCCTACTGACTGGCAGTTAAAGCGATGACTTCTCAGATAGATTTCCATTCAAAACGTGTCCGGAGAGTCTCAAAATACAGAAGTGCGAACTTGTTAGGAAAGAGACTTACAAAAACAAATGCCTTTTGCGGCCAATAGCAGAAAGGTTACTGGTTCGTTCAAACCACTTTAGGTTCAAGATACGGTGGTTCTCAACGCTTGAGATACACACTATTCTACCACCCAAGTGGACTCTTCTTAAGTGAATCCGAATTGTCTGTTTCATCCTTTTGGCCTTCTCCATAATTCTCCATAATTCTCCACAATTCTGTTCGCTGAAACAGGACATGACTGTACTACGGATCGGGGGTGAGTGAGGTGGAACGCAGGGAGCGGCTCCAGGGCTGAGGTAGTGTCAGGGTGCGTAAGCCTGAAGAGGAGCAATCGAGATGCTGAGGTTGGATTCAAACCAAAGGCTTTCCGGTCATGGTCTCGGACCCGAAGACTTTGTAGTACAACGACGGTCTGTGTACTAGTGCAAATATCTAATGTGGGACATGGGTTTTCTAGGGCTCCGATTATATACTAATTACTGACAGCCGCTTATGATGGGAGGCATTAGACTGCACCAAGGTTGGCAGGAGTAATTTCATAGCCACCAAGAGACAAACTCGACTTGGCGAGTATTGACCAGGCTACATACCTTCGCCATGTTGCCCAAGTACACTGACAATGTGCCTGTGTTCCCGATCCCATAGCATTAAACGAACAGGCGGAAACGTCAGCTCGTCCATCCACCCAGGTGAGCATGACCGAACTTTTTACAAACCCAATGATTTTTAAGTCGACAAAAGATTACGGCGGTCGTCCAAAATCATAAAGGAAGACACGGTGGCTGACGCGAGTGAAATGAAACACCAAGATCATTGATCCTACTGTCACGATACGGCAATCAGAATCCTGTCGTTGAGGGAACAAGCCAGATTCAGATGACCAATTGTGAGGAGCACATCGCACTGTAGAAAGCCGTAATGCGCCTTCTACTAAGCACCAATACCAGGAACGGACATCCTCACCGAAATGCCCTGGCATTCTCAGAAGGTGCCCCTTCGATGGGGCAGGAAGGAAAAGTTGGGAGTATAGAAAACCGACCAAGTTCTTGTGTTCCTCAATGATGGAACTAGTGTATATTTGGAGAGAGAGAGAGAGAGACGGAGTTTCTAGAGGCACGGGCTGACATGATCTGAGAGGTTATTGAAACAGTAATGGTGATAATCACAGACTGGAAGCAGCCAAGGTAAAAGTTGCCATAAGTAGTAGGAAAAATTGTAAATGCAAGATTTAGACAAACAAAGGTGGTGCAATATCCCATAGAAGACGATGGGAACTTCTAAGGTAAGGTAAGGAAGATAAAATCGATAAGTTGAACGGTTGGTTCCTTGGCTGCCCTCGGGAAGGAACGCCGTCGAGAAAGAACACGAAAACGTTTTAAACTTCTAGTGTTCATATGTACGATCTGTCCTGGTAACCAACATTTCCCTGAGAATGATCGTCTGAGGTAACATCGTTATGTGATGTCCCGATGACCAGACCATCAGTATACGTAGTCTAGAATGGATGAAAAAGATGAGCAGATAAGAAATTTCGGATTGAATCGCACTACTTACGGGAATGTAAGTAGGCAAATAAGACAATTGCACAAAGATAAGCGCCGCAGACGCCTCGATGACGACAGAACGGACTAATTGTAGAAAGCATGTTGGTTTCTAGTGGTTCGGTCACTGAAGTCGCCTGAAGCAGTGGCGATTCAACACTATAGACCCAGCTTGTGACTGGCTCCCCTTATCTTGGTAAGGCCGACGTCGAATTATGTCTACAGACAGTTTCTAACCTGACCTTGGGTATGTTAACTTTTGCTCGTTGTACTGATTTTGCAAGCTACCGTGTTTGTTGTTTGTCAAAAAATCCGTTGATTGTAACAATAAATAATAGTGATCGGTCAGATGCAACGCCGTTTCGGTACATGGCTGCCCGCCTCATCTTCCGTACGCCAGCTTTCCAACCGAAAGAATGCCCCATGGACCAATCGAAGGTGCTTACCGTCTTCGAAGAATACTGTTTTGGAAGAATGAACAAATAAATCGAAAGCTCTCGAAATTCCTAGTCTGAAACATCAGAAAATGAAACAGTCCAATCACTGCTGAGTCCACCTGAAAAGCAGCCGACGACTAGTACTCACTCAATAGGGCCAAAATGCGGTGGAAATGTTGCGAATCTCGTTGGGTGTACAGGAAATGCGGTGCGAATTCCAGATCGAATCGGGGGCTACGATGCACGCAGCCCAAGAAGACTATATTGGTGATACGCCCGTCAAACTGTCAACGGCCAGTCTGAGAATTCTACAGGAAATGCGGTGCGAATTCCAGATCGGATCGGGGGCTACGATCCACGTAGCTCAACAAGACTATATTGATGATACGCCCGTCAAACTGTCAACTGCCAGTCTGAGAATTTGGAACGAGACAAGGACCACGCCGAGGGGGGTCGAACTTCAGCTGTCTGTGACAAATCCGGGTAGCAGCGTGAGTTACAGCTTAGTCTCCTTAGTGGTGGAGGTGAGTTTGACTCGTGAGATCACGGCCGCCTAGAAGCTTAGATATATTGCCGTCAATCATGCGGATGTTGTTGACTGGGTCGACTCATCCACATTTCTTGGAAAGATAACTTCACCTTGTGATCCAGAATTAAAGTGCCTACAAGAAAGATTTTATCTGTCTGTGATGACCAGTGGTTAGGACGCAAACCGGAAGGTTCGTGGTTCGAACTCGACCTCTGTATCTCGACTTCCCCTGTCTAAGCTTGGCAACCCGGATGCATCCCAGCCCTCGTGCTTCCTTCGGGTGGCATGACAGTTGGGCACCGAAAGGGTAGTACAGCTGAATAATTTGATTCTTTTGTTCGGTTGTAACACCCTTTCGGTGTCTAGCTGCCACACAACAAGGCACGAGGTTTCATATACTATCTGATTACCCAAGCCTAGACAGAAGCAGTCGAGATGCTGAGGATGGGTTTGAACCACGGACCCTCCGGTCAGTAAATTCACGCTTTCATGAGTCGAACAATGAGTTTCATCCAACTCTAATGAGAGTTTCGGTGATAAGCCAGCGGGTGATTTAGAACGTAACCCTAGACACGAAGAGTGCAGTAGTCCCACTGCATTGATAAAAAAACAGTACGAATGTAACTAACTTGAGGGTTTAATTGCGGGGAAGAAACCAATGTTCTCGATTCTACCACTCCCGCTTCATCAACATCCAGGGTTTGCATCTGCGCTAGCAACAATTGATGCACTTCTGGATGATTCGATGAGGAACTCCTCTGGCTAACAAATGATGGACTGGAGGAGTGTGTTTCTGGACCTTTGACAGTATCAATTTGTTCCGTTGGACAAGTTTGAACCGCTTGACTACAGCTTTGAGTTCGACGTCGCCACAGGAAGTAGCGTCGGTTCGGCTTGATGTTTGATTCTGTTCCAGGGGAAGAGGGAGTTGTAGTCTCTGGTTCACGTGATGGCCACTTTCCTAAGGCGCAGTCGTGCAACCGCCTACGATCGGCACGTGTGTCATCTTGTTGAAACATGGGGGACCGACAATCGTATCGCGTTTGGTGAATGAAAGTGAACAGGAGAGAGTCTTGTGGGCGTCCACGCGTATCACGCATCTCCTTTTGGAGTACGAAGCCAATAATAATTAATGATAATAATAATGAAAGTAATAATAAGGGATTCAGTAAATCGAATCAACCCACTTTTGAACTCTAATGACCGTGTAGAAAGGCATGGGACGTGTCAACTTACTAACAGAGGATCTCATTTGCCTCTTGCTACTTTCTCGAGCAAGACGAATTTAGGACATCCATCCAAAGATGTCTCGTTGAGGCAATCCTAATTAGAAAGCCTCGTTACAGAGAAGTGAAGAAAAGACCCTTTCGACTTTAAATACGGCTATTGAGGAATCAATCACGTGCTCCGGTCTGGGAACACACCGTGTACGTTGCTCTGTTGAGCAACTTCTTAGCCTGCTGTAATACCCGATAGGGTAAATTAACAGGGACATTAGATAGAACCAATTGAGAGTGGAAAATCTTTTGCACCAGGTCACTAAGTACCGTGAGACGTCGTGCTACAACCGTCGTTTGTGAGCTCCAAGAGCCGAAGTAGATCCTGCTTTTGATTGGTCGATATCCTGACCAATCAAAAAACGGTCTCGTTCAGGAGGCAGTTTCGCCGCGTAGCCGCACAGTACTAGGCAACCAGCTTCACAACTTCCACTGACAACCTGACTTGTTGCATATGTGCAGATAATAGTTGCACGGAGGATAGAAAGAAATGCTGCATTGAAGAGGAGGATTCTAGGTGGCCGTTTCCTCCAGAAGTGGAGTGACTAGCAAAGCGTTCAATTTAGTTCGAATTAGTTTCGTGAGGAAAATGAGATTAAGTGACGTTTTTGGGCAGATAAATAACAGAGACGATTATTAGGCTTTCTCCTAAAAGAGAAGGACAAACTGAGTAGAGCAAAACCAATAACCTTTCGGCCCATTTTTACTGGTTATTTGTGATTGAAGGCAGTATTGCACTTTGTTTCCATATCGTGCACATTCCTATCACTGGCAAGGCGTTTGGACCTACGTAAACGTATTTTCAAAGTCCAGGAATTTAGACCAGCTGATATTTTCAACAAAATTAACTCTGATACATGTTGTACTCTTCAAGAAAAGATTTGGGTAGCCAATTGACCTATCAACTAGCTGTCGTCCGGCTGACGCACAATGGGTCACGAACCGCGGTTTACACATGACGTAGAGACTGAGAGTTGAGCATCACATAAGCAGCCCGTACCACAGCCAAACAAAGAGCGGAACAGAGTCGGCGGTTAAAATGATGCGCGAATCAGGACAGGACGCGTAGCTCACTCTTTTGAAAGAACGGAACATCTCATATGCAAATGGCCTCATTTACAGAAAGTTTATCCATAGCAATGAAGGCCTTTCTTTCTCAGCGTTGCACAACATAGACATTACCGAAAGACTACAGCTGATGCGGTCATCTGACACGAGATATCACGCCGATTACCTGACCTGAAGGAAGGAGGGAAGATATGGGTTGAATGCGCCCCTTAAAACGTAATATTGTAGGAAAGAGAAAGGGCAGAGGCAGGGCGCAGATACCGCTCACGTGATGTAGAAGTGGAGAAATATAGTTCGTATGTGAAAGAACTATCAGGTGGTAACAAGCACCAGCTAAGGATACAGCCATCACACGAAATGAAAAGGCTCTTCAAAAGGAGGGTAGGAGACGATGCAGACGTTGCAGTGATGATCAGCAATCAACCGTCTGATTTCGGTTCAAAGTGCGGCAGAGAATCATCGGAATATTTCACCCTATAGCACCTTAGGGTCAACTTAGACCAAAGTCATCCAATCACCGGAGTTCCGTTGTTTTGGTCAGCAATGAAGACAAGCAACGGCCGGATGACACAAATAACTGAAGAATCAATCAGGACCCGAACTATGTATAGTCGAGCGAATTCGATCAACCAATGACGAGTTTGGATAGGCGTCAGAGGTTCGTTCAAACACTCGGATACATATCAACGTGACATTGACGGGGGAATCATTTGGAAATCAGTCTCTCGCTTAAGATGTTCATACATTAGTGAAAAAACCCCGTGGTTTTGCTTAACGAAATAATTCATGGGCGAATCGAGGCTCTCTCCTTGAACGACCTGCGCGGTCACGACGCTGAGGAACTCCATTTCCGCTGTAATCAAAAAGCATCTATTGTGGCTGAAGAGGAAATCCGACACTAATATCTCCGCCATCATTAGGGAAACGTGGCGGAGATTCGACAAGATATCTTTCAGTGTCACTAGTCATAAGACCAAAAATAACTTTGACGAAAATCGAAAACTGTGAATCCTGTATTGGTGAATATCAGTTAGTTGGAGCTTAGTAAACGGGTTGAATATTCCCTATATATACTTGCCAACCGTCTTCGATCAGTGTAGTTACCAAACGACGGATAACCCTAGGTAAGATTGGCGCTCTACAAGCTACTAAACATCATCGGATTCGAAGAACCGAAATTCAGCCAATCAACAGAGTTTTGCACCACAAACGAACTAGGAATCTGATTATCCAATCAGCGATGCCGTTTGTTTCAGTCAATACTACAGTTTAAAATACTCTAAGAAAAAGACCAACTAATCCCAACCAATCAGAGATAAAAGATAATCGTTCAGCCGTAACAGCCTTCCGGTGCCTAGCTGCCATGCCACCCGAAGGAAATGCGAGGGGCTGTGATACTGCCAAGTTGCCCAAGCCTAGTTAGGAGAAGTCAGGATACAGAGGTCAGGTTCGAACGTTCGGGTCCGTAAATTCGTGCGCCAACCACTCAGCTATCTCGCCTCACTCACAGAGTGAATCGGCCACGAGTCAACACATTAAAGCGCACAAAGGGCAGTGAACAATACTGTTTGTGATCTAATAACACCAATGACTTTGCACCAATAAACTGAGATCCCTCTGGATTCAGATGAATTTCCCAAGAAATACATAATCCAAGCCTATTGGTTCCAGTCAACGATTATTCGGCATGCGAAATACATGAGCTAGCCACCGCCCACTTTGGTGTTGGCCACATGCCTCGATGGAAGTCCCCGTTACACAAACGGTAAACACTCTTGAAACCGGAGTTCATAGAAACTGTCTCACCTTGACTTCTTCATAGGCCTCAAAGATTATCGTGATGAACAGGTTGAGCACGACGTAGATGAATAAAGTAATGAATACGTAGAGAAATAGGCGACTGAAGACGAAAATACCCCACGGAGCGCGATCGCCAATCACACTGAAGGTGACAAACATGTCATCTCCGTTGATCAGGGCATAGAGGCATTCCAGAGTGGTAATGAAGGTACGGAATTTGAGATTGTACGGCCCAAGGACAACCCAACCACAAAGGCTGAATGCGAAGAACAGTATCAAGGAACAGACACCGAATCGGAGTAGAGCAGGGATGGAGTTGATAATCGTTCTCATGAGGATCTGGAATGAAAAAAAAGAACAAAGTTGGACCGTGCGTGGACAGGGTTGGTTGGAAAACACAGTACTATAATCTCTGTTCATGAACAGACTACTCTGGTTGGTTCAGTAGTTGATTGGTCAGTGGTAAACTCCGTCCTGGAAAGGACTGCCCGAAAGGCCTCATCAAAAGTCATGGATACCTTTCATTGGAAGAATTCGTAGCGCTATCCTTGCATTGAAGAAGCTGGTCGGACGAAGAGCCAAACGCCGCGAAAAAGAATGAGGCTAGATGATGTTGAGAAGAACATCATTAACGAAAGTTTCAGCAGCGTTCCAGGTGAACCTCCCGTGAAAATCAAATTGGTATATCGCTATAATTGATGTCCTTGTTAGCTCTGTGTAGTACAGAAGTCCAAATTACGAATACAGCGGTCCTTCGAGACATAGTTAAAGCCTAGAAGTTTGAAACCAACTATTTTTGCTTGGGGAAACTTGAAACTAGGGGGTTAGAACGTGCAGTATGAATAACCGACACACAATTCGAAAGCCTAGCTTCAATCGAAATCAACAACCACTGCTCGACTACACCCGCTGTTTTGTGCAACACAGCAAGGAACCGATCATCAACTGACTCGGTCATATGATCGGTTCACGACATATTCGGTGGTCAACAAAGCAAGTACGGTCAGACACACGAATCATGTGACGGCATAGCCAAGGCCAGTTGTTTATCGCATTGCACAGAACAAAGTGAACAACAACATCGGCAATGAATTAACTCACACTGTTTGTGTAAGAGAAGCCCACATAGCGTAAAACGCCAGACCAAACGAGCAAAGCACTGATTCCAAAGACGTATGAGGTGGGCTCCGGGTTTTGATGAAGCTGAATTGGGGGGGAGGGGGTCGGAGGAAGAAGGGTGAATAATTAGGCTACAATTTTGGGTGGAGAACGATAGAAAACATGTTCGACGTCAGTTAAAATGAGAAACCACGGGTCATTCAGAAACTGAAATTAAATCAGCCCACTAGCACACGAAGTGGTAGCCCTTCTGCAAATCCGAGGGCTACGTTTCTTCCCCACAGAATCTCCAAGTCGTTCATGAACTGCGCACACTGTGGGAGAGTTACTAGACGACATGAAGAGATGACACTTGCCAGCGCGAAACTGCATATCTGACGAGCGAATCCGTTTGGCTGGTGGCGAACACCATGTTGAGAGAGAGTCTATGCAATACCCAAACCCTTGGGTTGGTTGATTTGGGTAGTCTGACGAAGAAGGAAAGCCAAAGCGTCTGCAAGAATCGAACTCGAAACGTACCCAGATCCTGTGGGTTGAGCTGACGAGCACGTGAAAAGCGTTTCCTGGGTTCAAGACATCTAAGTTTATCCCAAACTCGAACAGATTGAACTCAGGGAGTATGGTCTGGACCACGGTCCCGATTCATTTCTTACTCACTCATCATCATCATCATCTGCGACAGCATGATATCAGTGTTCAACACTGATGCTTCACTGTCGTACAACCATGATTTGTTTGAAAGCCTTATTGTAAAGAAAAGAGTAAAGGTGGACGGGGAAGGGACTTAGTGCTAGATTACCACAATCATTCCGAGGTGCCTACATCTCCAGACATTCACTCAGGCAATCTGGATAGAAACTGACAACAGGAACGCCACTGACATCGGTTGGCAGCCACATCTTGTAGTGTCTCCAACCAGGCACAGTGAGGATCATACGGTCCCCATCCTGGAAGGCGAGTAGCACCGACAGCACCCAATCTCCTTCATGCTCCTCTGCCAAGTCAAGGGTTGGCCATCTCTGTGTTTACGCCACTCTGAATCGGGCAAAGCAAACAGCACTCTCTTCGACAAGCGTAGGTTCGGCATACGCAACACATGTCCCAACCAACGCAGCTTCTGGTGCTGGACACATTCTTCAATGGAAGTACCCGAAGCACAACCGAAAACTCGCTTCCTAACTACCTCGTTACGAATTCGCTGACACCAACCCACACAAGCTATGGTTCTGAGACGATTCTAACTCACTTCCGCCAGCGTAACCTACCATAATTCTTAGTTTATATTCATGCAACCTAGCCTGGCTCCAGCCACAAAGGCAATTTGCCCTCCATCCAACATCGGTCATTGGGTGTGAGAGCTTTTCCGTCAGAAGCGGAAAACTAATCACGATAGAGTGGCCGCCATTTTGTTTGCTTAGCTGGGCAATCAGGTTGCGAACATTTCATCCCGAATCGAGGGGACGTTGTCAGCGGGTGTTGTGGACCGAAAAAACGGGGCCTCTCGATTTGTGAAGCGTATGGTGCTGTGGTCTGAACTTGCCCCGATTCCCTAACGGCAACCACTCATTCATGCAACCATGTTCCGACTGGATGATATTCATCCGTCGGGATATCAGTGCACACAAGGCCGTCTCGCCACTCCCGGTGCTTACCTGTCGCACTTTAAGGTGATTACACCCAAAAGCGCTCAGTCAGACAATCTGAAAAGAAATGACTACACGAACGCCATCGACACCGATCAGACTCCATGTCTTGCTGTCTGTCAAAAAATGTTTTCCCCTATTACAAAAGATTTCTGCGTGGACGCACAAGAAGAAGAGTCTATAATCGATTTGGCAACCACGCCACCAGGCAAATTTTACGGCAGCGAAACATCAGCGTTGAAACATGATGTCATGATAATGATGACTCCAGCCTAGGGCACCATCTTGGAAGCCGTACAACACCGACAACACCCAAACTCTTCGTAATCTCTCGCACCCTTCTGGGAAAATACACGTTGTCCACCTCGCGATTTCCGCCATTCCGAAGGAGGCATGGAGAACAACACTCGTCTCGGTAGACGGTGTTCCGGCGTGTGAGCCACCGCAGTTGATGGAGCTGGATGTTTTCCATAGTTGCAGTACCTGCAATAATAATAAATAAATAATCGTTCAGCTGTAGCGCCCTTTCGGAGCCTAGCTGCCATGCCACCCCCGAAGGAAGCACGAGGGCTGGAATACTGTCAGGTTGTCCAAGCCTAGACAGGGGAAGTCAAGAGGCAGAGATCGAGTTTGAACGACGGACCTTCTGGTCAGTAAATTGGCGCTCTAACCACTTGAGCCATCTCACCCCCTGTACCCGTACCCGTTGCACAACCAAATACCCGTTTCCTAATAACCCCGTTACTAATCCCATGAGGCAACGCATCTCAGGCATTGGCGGTCAAAATCCCGAAGATGTCTCACACCATTTGTCCGTAGAGGCCATGTCTAACAGACATATAACAACAAAATGCTTACAGTAGCCTGGTACACGCAACCCTGGAGACCCAGTGATGACATGACTTTTTGACGCCACAGGTGACGCAAATTAGACGTGACTTATGTCTTTGAGATTCATGCACTAACTTTACCAGACACGCTTCCGTCAGAGCTAACACAACTACCGAGGTATGTAAAACTCTCCACAATCTCCAGAGATCATCTTCGTATTGTAACAAATATGTGAAACACTTCGAAGGTGCGTGCTGAAAGATGGTATGACGGCGGTCGGTCTATCCAAAAAGGCATGTGCTTCACATTGGTCTTCAAAGATGACGGCGATGTCGTCCAGATCGACAGAGTTCTCGCCAGCAACAATATGACGGCCGGGGTTTGTAAGAACTTCCAGCGTTCACCTAATTAGTTCGTCGACAGTGAAGTTGAACAAGAATGGGGAGAGTGGGCATCCTTGGCGGACATAACCTTCTATACGGAAGCTCTTAGAGATCTTACCATACACTCTCAAACGCCCAGAAGTATGTCAATATAGGGATCGGATTACGCTCATAAACTTCTGGGGCAAGTGTGGTTAACAGCATCGAACGAGTCACAGAATCGGACGCACAGTTCAAGTCAAGGAACACCGAAACTGTGGGTCGTGTGCACATATGACATTGATCCACCATCAGGCGCATTGTGAGGATATAGCCGACACAGCTATTACCCGGTCCGAATCCCGCTCGAGTCTCACGGATCAGGGCTTTGCGTGCCACCGTAAGACAGCGAGGAATCAGTGATGTCAGAAGTCTTGTTGCGACGGCAGTCAAACTGACTCCCATGAAATTACCAGATTGGATGTAGCCTATTTGGATTCCGAGTTGGTTCATTGATGGATGAGTGATTTCGGCCGTTCTGGAAATTGGTACTGCAAACAAACAGTCTGTGATCGACACAGACGATTTCTACTGTCCGTACGCCTCGCAATCAACCAAGCTGGACCTCAACAGCGCTTGATCCACCCATCTGAAAGTTCATATCACCACCAACTACATCGAAGTCTGAGCTTTTAGCCCACTGTAGAAGGGCACCTAGAGCGTCAAAGAAACTGTCCTTGGCAGAGTGAGAGAGACAGACATCTGGGGCTAAAGCCGACACAATAAAAAGGATGCGATAAACCCCAATTTCTCCAGATTCTCTCACGGACGTCGCCAAACAAAACCGCGCAGAGGTGATTACCAATGTGTATTGAATCAGGTAGAGATACTTCCATTCGATCGCTCAGTACAATACCCACTCCAGTATATCCGGCTACAGCGGCCTCCACATCACCAGAGGTGCGCATCTGGAAACTGGAAGCGGGGGGGGGGGGGGCGACCCTAGTTGTTCTGCTTGCTTCCAAGTGCAAACATTCGAGGCAGCTAAGTAGACAGGCTTTCGGTGTTTGAAAACAGACCTCGAAGTGTTTAGGGTTGTTACTGAAGTCGGACGTACAGCAGATGCAGCACGGTGAGCAAGGCGGTCAGTCCTAGTGCTGGGCCCTGTGGAGGGAGTTTTCAAATTGGTGTGGGGTGAGATAGAACAGGGAAGACATGAAAGTGTAGGAAGGAAGGCGTTGGGACAACCAATCAACACAAAGGAACACAGACCACAACGTAACAAAGATCACAAACGGACCAGTAGATTCACTAAGTTCGTTACACTTCAAGTAGCCAATCACATCAGAACATAACAGGTAGCCTTCAACTGCTATATAAACACACCCAGGCAAGAAAGAAATACCCACCCAACTGCGCATTGATGATGTCTCCTCGTATGGTAACGAAACGTTTGCAAGCGAATTGCCAAGCTCGGCGAACAGCCATCCGATCAACAACCAAGGAAGGCGTCAGCCGTAGCATGTTTTCGCTTACCTGACATGCTGTATGCAGCAATTAAGGCGGCCTGGCTGATGACTCCAAGCGACGGCCGATATGACATTGGAGTATTGTCAGTTGTAAGCCTCATGATACACTGCCAGGGTGCCCAAACCTAAGCAGGACAATTAGAGTCCTCAATTAAAGCCTTTGGCTTAAAAGACTGACCGCAGGACAGCGTGCTTTGGCGGGGAATACAGGTTCATCACCATTTTCAAGGAATAAGGGGCCACACTTGTTCCAACGCCTAACCTGGAGAGCCAGGATACAGTGTTGTTCAGACCTCTAACTACTGACCAACATGGTATGGGAGACTCTGTGAGTATCGTATGGCTCAGTGGATCATGGAGGTAAACACACACCAATTCATTTGGCTAGGGTGGAACACAGACTGTGATGGTGCTGTCTGATTGACCTTCATGTGCAGAAGACATATGATCGCTCTCACAAAGCATTCCTAGGACCTGGTGTAGGTGGGCTGAGAAGTACAATATATGTATGCACACAGAAAACAGACTAACCCCGTTGATTGTCCACAAATTGTACACGGCGCCGTAGATAATGATCGCATCGGTAAATATGATGGCGATGAACCAAGGAGGAATGAAATCCCAGAAGTGTCCACGTAATTCGATCGAATACCAGTGTCGAAAGAACAGAACCGTTTCCTAAGCGGAAAAAGAATTGAGTTGTTAGTCCGTGTGATGTTTAGTTGTTGGATGCTAGCCCGCAAATAAAATAACAACCGGAATACTACCGTGGTCGTTTAGCTGTAGCACCCTTTCGGTGCCTAACTGTCATGCCACCCGGAGGAAGCACGAAGGGCTGGGATACTATCAGGTTACCCAAATTTAGACAGCAGAAGTCGAGTTCGAATCACGGTCCTTCCGGTCAGTAAATTCGCGCTCTAACCACTGCGCCATATCGTCCCTGAATACTACTGTGCAGCAGAGAAGACTATCTGCTGTTCTGTGGAGACCGGGGATCGACCATTGGGAGATCGGGGGTGATTAGTCGAGCATGCGAAGAGGCAAATACACCAAAATCCTCTAGGAATCAGCTTGACTGCAAACACCGATGAGGTGCGGAGCTGAAATACAAGTAATTTGCAAGCACGAATCCATAAAAATGTAGACTTACTTTCCATAAGATAAAACCTCGAACGATTGACCGAATACAAAGCACAGTGGACAGAATCCCGATAACAAGAACTACCGAATTCAAAGAGGCTATAATCATCCTTCGCGTGGAAAAACTGAATGATACTTCAGAAGTGCGGTTGTCAAGGTTGCGGTGAGTTTGAGACATTGTGAGCCAAAAGTGGCGTAGCCACTCAGTTCGTTCACGGGTGGGTATTTCATGTCCCGCTACTTCACAATAGGTAGCCGTATACGGAGCATCAAGATAGATTTGCAGTTGACCACTTTGATGAATTTTTTCCATACTGATCTGTGAGCGAGGAAGGCACAAGACACAAGTATGAAACACAGTGGCGACGGGGATGTAGGGTTATCTTCACTGAAATCACACTGGATGTTTGCAATAACAAGAAAGGCGCTTCTGTAGGAAAAAGAGCTGAAAATCGTGTTCGACCATCAATCGAATGGGGAAAAATCCACTTCGCAAGCTTTGTAGCTGCGCGGTAGCAATAGACCAATCCCGTCAAACAGGGGCCAACGGTAAGAGACCACTTTTTGCCGCTCCTGTGGGGAACACCCTTTCAGGAGAGATTGGATGTTTGGTCTATCAGGCCACTGAAAAAGGGGATGTTTTGTGCTCTCGTTTGTCGTCGAAAATTAATTTAGGACAACCCATGCCAACTTTCTGCAGTCTTCAAGAAGCAATCTCTTCGGTCACTCGATCAACTCATCTGGATAGTCGCTTGTGCGCTTCATTTGGTTACGAGATATTTTCCAAAGTAAACTCATCAGAAGCTTAGTTCGGTCTAAGTGAATCGTAATTCGAAACATGTCCTTAGCCAAAATTCACCTGACAGCTGACAGAGACTCACAAGATGTTTCATAACCCTTAAAAAGTGGTTATTCCGCCTGTCACGGGTGTCACATTTCCAAAAAGGCAGTTGGCGCCAAACAAACTTTACTCACCCCCCCCCCAACATCAGAACCTTATGAGTATTCTAACTGCACAGTGGGGGTACACGGAAAATCCATCCATAGTTGAAAGATTCCAATCCATCCAAATTCCACTAACACTCAAAACATCAGTCAGTAAAATGAGTAGGTAAAACATCAAGAGATGGAAATGATTACACATCACGTGGCGAGTGACAACAGATTAGTAGGGATGTGCTGGAGGAAGTTACAATCGATGTTGTTTATCACAGTTGATAAAATGAGACCACTGTTCAGTTACTTCAACTAGGGAAAACAGGTTTCGAACCCATGCTGACGCTTAGAAGATGCATGCTTTTCTAGAATTTTTACAAGTGGTCAGATTCATCGACCTATTCGGACGGATAAATCACCGCACCTGGAAAAAGATTGAGGACTTTCAAGGGAACCGATCACTCCGGCAACAGGATATCCTACAAAACTTGGGCGGGGAATGCTTGCTGTGGACTCGTTCGGGAGAACAGCCTCTCTTCGTGGGGGAGGATGGATGAAAATCGAGTCCAGTGGGATAAGGATAGTAAAGAGTCCATATTCAATCAAGCAAGAAGCGGTAAGTGATTGAAACCAAGCTTCGGTTGAAGCGAATCTGTGGAATCGGTTACACTCGGATTTATTTCGAAGTTTGAATCACACACACACCTGACGGCATATCCGAAGGAGATGATTTCGGAACGATGACACGCCAACTAAACCTTCCAACCGTGAATTGAGCACACCATAAAATAAGTTCACAAGATAGTTTCAGAGGGGTAACGGATGACCCCCCACCCACCTCATTCACCCAAAGGAGGCTTTCACAAACAAGCTTTTGATTGTCATCAAACCGGTGAACTTTGAACGTGCTTCGCAAAAACCGCGAAATGACCGCCTTCTTGGAACTACTGCTTGCCTAGCGAAGGAAACCCCTCCTAGGGTTGCTCAAGACTCTCCGATAGCCAGCTCTGCCCTTCTTCAGGCTCATTGAGCAGACGAAGTCCCAGAGTTTCCCTTTCCACTTGAATCCAAATTGCACAAAGTTCACAAATATGCTAATTTGCACACCAATTTCGTTTTCACGAAAGATTCCTCTGAGATTCACGTACAGTTCGCGTGTAAAACCAAATTGGTGTGCAAATGACTGTACATTTGGCGTACTACTCGCATCGTTTTGACACAAATGGAGCATACAATTGTCAAAGGCCAGATAGAAACGATCGCGATATCATGAGTGGACTGAAACTATGCACTTTGAGGGTAGAAGCACACGTAGTAATCTACGCATTATCCCCGATAAGAAAAAAATCGTTCAGCTTAGCATCCTTTCGGTGCCTATGCCACCCGAAGGTTGCACGAGGGCTGCGATACTGCCAGATTGCCCAAGCCTGGACAGGGGAAGTCGATCGAGCCGAGTAATAGCGGAACTAAATTGGCACGCCAAAATTGAGTTGGGGGAGGAAGATGGGAGACAAAAGGACTTACCTGAATGTGGAACTTAAAACACTCCGCCTCACGTTTCCAACCTAGTTCCGTGACAACCGGCGAGAGTATTTCGAATTCCATTGTGAATTTCAACAGACTGAAAAGTAAATAAACAAACAAAAAACAGGAACTGCAAACGAATGGTTGTAAATAAATCCGAAGGAGATCCTGGTCCTTGTCTAAGGACAGAAACTTACCGAGCGAAATTCACGGACAGATTGTAGTTGGCCAACAGTTTGCGGACGCCGCTTGCAGTCGATAGAGAATCGGCCGATATATCCTTCGGGTAAAGATCCGCGCAATCTGTCCAGTATGCAGAACAAGACACATGAACACACGGGTGATGGTGGTCATCAGTAAATAGGGTCTGAAGTGCTTGCCTCCGCCAAAAAAACAGGCCTTCAAACGGCCCGCGTAACGAGAACTATCAAAAGAAGCCTGCACCCTCTATATCGATCGATAAAATAGCGCCAAGTGGAATCCGCACCAATAAATGAACTAATAACTGAAATGTGATTGGTTGCCACAATCAGGAGGCAGTAAGAAACAAACAAGAGTACACCAAAGGACGACGACAAGATTTCTGGTTCGTAACCAACCCTCGTCCTCGGACTTCTTCAGTCTAGACTCAGAAAACTTGGGGACATCCATCTAGGGGCGAGATGGACCAAGTGGTTAGAGCGCGAATTTACTGACTTGAAGGTCCCTGGTTCGAACCCGATCTCTGCCACTCAACTTCCCCTGTCTAGGCTTGGGCAGTATGCCAGCCCTCGTGCGGCATGGTAGCCAGGCACTGGAAGGGTGTTACATATGTACCGATGGGGTGCCACGGCTCAGCGACTCGCTTTTGAAAAAAAAACTGTCGCAAACTGTCACTTCACAAGCATGAAACAAGTGGCGATAAAACATTCATCACAGGCTACATCAGCCAGTGCCTGAACGGTTGAGCAGCACTTAAACTGCCTGCCAGGGGGTCGTGGGTTCCAGACTTCCCGGAGTTTCGTGAGATGCACACCGCTGATGAATCCCGACAAGGGATATCGGTTTTTCGGCATAGGTTGGCTTCATTGACAAGATAAAGTCTCTAACTGAATTCGACCAAGTCTGCTCACATTACTATGAAACACCAAGCAGCCCAGATTAAGGCACACGTATCTATTACAGTTTTGCAGAGTTCCGGCAACCATTTTAACTATGTAGACAGCGGCTTCCTGCAACCTGATACCGTCATCACGCTCGTCGGGAACACTACTGCACATTCTAAGCTCATTTTGTCCCATAAATCTTGGACGAGTTGACCTGTATAGGTTGTATCGTTGCAGAGGTTCATGATTGCTACTTTGAACTAACGCCTAAATCGTGAAATCGCTGTCTCCTTGCACTGGCCGACACACCTAGTTTGCAGCACGTCAATTCGTTCAGGTACGTGTACTGAACCAGCAAAAGACAGAAACACCCGGTTGTTTGGCGACAAACAAAGCGACCCATTTATTCTGCTTGTGTATATGTATTCTGCGAGCAGCTGATGCGTTCGCACTGTTTTTGGTGAGGAGTTTCTAGGATCCATCCTATGTTTGCAAAAATGTGAGCTACAATCGATTTACCGAAAATGCACTCACATTCTGCTGCTTTTGGAAATTGAGTTGACTATTTATGCCAAATTCCTAGATGAGTGCATCTTCTCACGTTGACTGCACTCGAACTTCAGAACAAATTGAATTTGAGTCATCTTGGACAGTGCACGTTTTGCGTTCAAGTGCCATTCGACCCTACAGTGCGCATTGGACACATGCTTTTTTGTCTAACCTGGTTATCCCAGCTGACTGGAGTTCGCAGACATCGGCACGCTGTGACCATTCAGTACGATAGTACTGGAGCAAGCTCGCGTGACACTATTGTCATATAAATAAAACAGTAATAATAATCGTTCAGCTGCAACCCCTCGGTGCCTAGATGCCACGCCACCGGAAGGAATCACGAGGGCCGATATGGTGTCAGGTTGCTCAAGGCCAGACTGGGTTCGTACCACGGACCCTCCTCTCAGTAGGTTCGCGAGCTGACTTAAAATCAACTGATAAATGTAGTCGTTCCTTGTACTGCAAAACGCCTCGCCTGTAGGTATACTGTTCGGTTTTCCGTTAGTTCATCGACGATTTCAGTGAGAATTGCCAATACTCCGATAAGCCAGTAGCCAAGCGACATCAATCAGAGTCTCACAATTTTCCCGAACTCCCTCAGAGGAACCATGGGATTCCTAATTGCTGATATTCTTGCTCATAACAGGTGAATGAGTTTCTATTGCCCGCGCCCTCGGGTAACGTCGTATGTCGGCATCAAATTATTGTGACTGGTCAATCAGGGCTTATTTCCGTTGAATTAAAATACGATTTTTGTGTCTGCGTATATTACAAGCTAAAAAATAACTGTCGAGATTTGTCCCTATTTTCTTCCTTTATTTGACCTTTGCAAGCGTACACGTGTCTGCTTAAATTGTCCTCTATCCTAGGTTCCGAGGGTCTGTTTATTAGGGCACCAGGCAAACGTCTAAACCAACCACAGTATTCATGACAGTAGTCATCGTTCGTCGCATTACAGCCAATTGCTACGAATACACTGGAAATGGAACCCGAAAAGAAACTGCCCTATCTTTGATTTGCAAGACAGTTCAAAGTCCAAAATCAGTCAAAGCTTTAATGTAGGATATCTTGCCCATGGAAATTTCAGCTGCAGCTCAGTAATTACTCCTACGATGTCACAATTAACTACTAAGTGAGATGGCCCAAGTGGTTAGAGTGCGAATTTACCGACCGGAAGGTCCATGGTTCGAACCTGACCTCTACTCCTCTCTGTATAGGCAACCTGGCAGTATCCCACCCTTTGTGCAGCCTTCGGGTGGCATGGCACCTGAAGGGTGCTACAGCTGAACGTTTCTTTCTTCTTCAAGCGATAGACCAAAACTCGCAACGTTCGATAGGTCGTGAAAGACTGAAAACAAAGCGTTCAACAGCTAGCCGGAGATGCACACCGCTGATGTTTCTTAACAAACATGGAAGAGCTGCACAGTCCTCGGTTTTTCAGCGGAGGTTGAACATTACCAAAACCCCTCGCATCAGCGTGAAAACAAATTGCGTTACTTTTCTGTCGCTCTTTGTACGTACTGTGCTTTATCAACCACTTTTGATTGCCTTCTGTCTGCTTATCATTAATTGCGCAATCGCGTTCAGCTGTTTGCCCTGACTATTTTACTCATTAAGGTGAACCTTCTCACGTGACATGATCTATCGAACCTTTCGAGTTCCACCTTGTCATTTACCGCAGAAGTAATGCTGAGCTGTGATCGAAATGTGTGTGCGCAAGACACCTTTTCAAATTATTCCCCAGGAATCTTTTATTCTCACGCTGCAAAGTGGCTGTACGTCACTACAATCCTGATCTGTATGTGATGGAATTCGATCATGCATCTTCGGTGGTATGAAAAAACGGTTGCCTACCTACCTGTGATTCACCCTTGAGGATCATTGAGAAACACTGAATTTATTCCTGGCACACGAGGTGGCTAGATTGCGAAGTCAGATAGGTTCATAGCGGCCGTCGATGGCTGGCTCGAAAAACATTCGAATCCTCTTGTGATACCTATGACCAGCTGCTGTACCATGAAACGATTGATGTGTCCCCCGATATAACGGCTTATTAGAAACAACACCGTATTTACTGGGGTCCCTTACTTGGTAGTGTGTACCTTGCAGAAGAAATTGGTCTGTTTTTTCTTCAACAAGCGCGGGCTCCGTCTTATAGGACACGCCATCACCGATCCTTGATGTCATCAGCGCAGCTGAGCCCAATGCGAAGACATCAGGTTTCATGGAAGACCACCTGAGTACTCAAAACGTAGAACAGCCAACGTCCATGGTCCCCGAAATTTCATTCATTTGAGAACACGGGGTCCGTTGAGTTAGTTCAGCAGCTGACCTAATCAGGCTTCTTGGTTCAGTTCCTTTCGTCGACCCGATCATCAATGTATACGGATTTTGTGCATGACGATACGTTTTGAGCTGTGTAGCCTGCTTCGTTGGTATCCTCCGAAATGGGAGGTCGTTTGGTCATTTCTAGCACAGAACTGATGTTTAAAAGTACCCGGTGTCTAGCTTGACAAGATCACACTGAAGGGCTAAAGTGATTGTTGCGATTGGAAATCAGTTCATCTATCTGCTTGACGTTGAGTGACACTCTGTGTGTGCATTTTTGGCGAACTGCTGAATTTTTAGTCACCCGCTGGGATTTTGTATATCAGCTAGTGTCTGACTACGTTCCCTTGTTCACCTCCAAGACTTGCCTTTGGGATCAGTATTGTGATACGCTTTTAAGAAAAATCGAGGGATTAGGGTGTACGGTTGTCAGGTCAGAACGGCAAGTCACGTTCTGGTCAGCGAGTCCTACACTCTGTGCAGTTTCATGAGGTGCAATAAGGATGAAACAGTTATACCGTGCTTCTCGGCATAGATTGGCTTCAGTGACAGGACGAAATCTCCATTAAAAAAAACCCACCTACTAAGTCTGCTCGCGTTAAACCGGCGTCGTCAGCCCGATGCTGACACCCCAAACGGTGATGAAACTTTTGCGATCCAACGAACACACCAACAACCGTGCAACGCACAAAAGCTACCTATATTCCGCAACATCGCGACCATATATGTTCTGCTGTCAGTCACGGATTGCATGGACAACAACAGTCAGCTCAGTTTGGCGTGCAAAACAGAGTTGTTTGTGACGGTGCGGAAAGACTGGAAATCGATTTCATCGTTTGGTTCATACAACGTTCACATACAGAATGGTGAGCAATTTGAGGCGGGCAACCCGTGGACCGACGGAAGAGTACGAACCACAATGTATATACACCCAGCAAGACGGGGTTCCTATCATCTGTAATTTGTCAACCAAGACAACAACCCTCCTTATGAATGCAGCTACGATGTCCTTGTATGGATGATAATGATCTGATTGTATGTCTGACTAGATTTGCTAACGATGTTCACTCAATCCGTACGTTTACGGTGAAAAACTATCGTCCAGTCACCCGGTTCTATTGAATCACGAAGACACACACGAGTGGGTAGCCACAGGATCGTCGAAAACTAAGAGAGAAGTGAAGACGAAGGCTTTTGGGTGATAAAAGACGGTCCATCAACATGGGCAGTGAGACACAGGTGCCAAAAAAAAACACGACCAGGAAGAAACAGCGCCCCAGTACGGCGTTAAAAGAAGAGGAAGTATGGAGATGGAAAGCGATCCGGAATAAAGAAAGCTACGCCTAAGAAAACACCTGAGTATGATTTCAGAGTAAAATGCCATCGGCTGGATTGACCCGGCCTGTTTTGTGAATCTCGTTCAACACGAGCCCAGCTAGGCGATCAGACTAGGGATCGACATCACACGCGCCAATGGAATCGGTTACATACAACGTCTTGTATGGTCTCCAATCATGTGCTCGGAGAATCACGTGGACTGCAGTCAAGGACACAAGAAGACCAAATAGTCCTCGAGTCGGCGTACTTAATGACAAATGTATCAAAGGTGTGGAGGTTTCCCGGCAAAGGTTTGAGCTGGAAAACGGCACCGTATTTGGGCATGCTTACTGCATGTCCAAAACATCGTAACCTGACGGTTGCTGCGTAGGCTTACGCAGCGTTGCGTTGCCTACGTGTCGCAGCCATTCAACTTTCGCCATGGTACGAAGACACTACTTGTCAAGTACTCGAGGGTACTAAGAGTCTTCGAAACGCAACCAAGATCAGAACTACTTCCGTAGTTTTGCTTTGGTGAAATGAAACAAGTTGCCATGAACCGCTTACACTTTGACAATGCGTCTACTGACTTCAACCGTCACAGCGCAATCGCAGCTTACAAAGCAGTCATGATATATGAACGCGTGTTTCAAACAAACTGTTACCTAATAAAAAATGTATCAAAGGTGTGAAAGTTTCCCGGGCTGAAAGTTCTAGTGTGCTGTATATGGTCATGGGATCAAGAATCTGTTCAAAGGGAACATTCTGGTCAAACGGTGTGACCTATACTTCCATAGAAACGCCTCGTTTGGACGGGTCTAATGGGCATGGACTTTACTCACATAGCGATTCTTCATCCACCGCATCGAAACGATAGTTATTGACTAGTGCGGGGAAAGAAAATTGCCAGTCGATTCATGACTGACCTTCGACACCGTTCCAGATCAGGAAATCCACGCGAGCTCCTAAGTTTACAGAAAAATGTCTGCAGACTAATGGTGTGCTGGACTGACATGCAGGTAGCGTCCCCAAGAAATGCGCGCACCGAGGTCTGAACTTTTAGACACACATCAAAAATATGACATCGTAACCACGTGAGACTGGGTCCACGTGTCTTATATATTATAGTATATTATATATTATATTACATTATACTATATTATATTATNATATTAATCATGTTATATTATTATATGTTACATTATAGTATATTTGGCGAATCAACTCAGGTTCTTCAAAAAACCGATCATGTATCACATGAGGGAATGGTTTCATTTATCCTGCGGTCTAGGATTGAAACAATGGCTCTACACCACAACACCAAAACAGCTCAACGGTTAAAAAGGTGTCTCACTTGGAGAGACATAAATGGCCAAGTCGTTCTTCGCAGAACGTGCGAGGGAAGTTAACGTACCAGTCCGAGTTTTGAACAGTCAGTGACCAAATTTCCAATTCAGGAATCGTATGTCGTTGAATATCAATTCCGCACGTTGCCTAGGACAGATGCATATCAGCCCTCCAAGAGACAATCCCTCGAGGCGTTTTGCCTTCCAGTGTGCTGGACTATACGGCAGATTGCAAATTACGGTGCACTGACATTGTCAAGTCCTATTTCAAGTTTGTCCTCAAAAATAGGTCAGCACCAATCCAAGGATTTCGAATCAATTTATCGGATCAAGCGATTTGGCTGGCCGAAAAGCACTCTGTTGCCGTCAGTGTACATTGATTAATACCCAGGGAAAGTTTCGTGACCCACAGAAAACGTTCCTTGTGCACCTGTTCAGGTTATTTTCACCAAGCTCACCCCCATCGGTAGAAGATCGTTTGCTATCAGGTATGAACACCGTTTATAAAATAGCGATACGTATGTAAGAAGTAAGGATACACGGGTGGGTTTTAGGAAATCTCCCAAGGATTTGCCGGAGTTTTCAACATTAATGAGCTAAGTATAGAATGGACAAATAGAGAAGGGAAATCCTCACTTTATAGTGTACCAACGGTTGAACCAAACTCAACGTACGTGTTTCTTCCGTGTGCGTCAAGAGTCCACGCTCGACGATACTCATACGACAAAACGTCAAAAAGGGCTTGTCCGAAGTAAATAAATAGGACCCGATCGCAATCGATTCGGTTTTGTTGAACTGAACAAGAGGAGGGAGGCAGAGAATGGAGGCAGTAAAAGAATACAAACTGCATGCATTCGCCAAAGGTTGACGGTTAGAGACGATTCGATACTCAAGGTGCCTATGTTCTAACAGGGCTAGGAAACATAGACTACTTTGTGATTAGTTACGAGTAGTATAACGAATTTAACCAAACTGGTGGTTCTTCCGAGAATAAGAGTTTTGATCTTTGATAATCCAGGGAAGACAGTGTTGTCAGGCCCTGTGAATGTATTTTGAAGGACATAAATTGGAAACTGTTTCTCAGCTATCCAGTATGACTCAACCCCAGTTACGAGCTGGCTTTGCGGTGCACTTTCAACTGACACGGAACGGGATCTCGGACCACTCAGATGATGGTCTTCATTTCATTCTAATAAATCAGGTGTCATATCTTTCTGTGCAAAGGTCCTTTGGTTAGGCCAACCATGATGCATTATTCTCGTTGGGAGCCCATTGAGCAGCCGCAAGTCTTGACCCAAATCTACCTCGGAAACCCATAAAGGCGAATCGGATCAATACCAACGCGATACACATTGCAGAAACCGCTGGGGCATGACACCATAGCTGGTCTGTACCGCGGTCGGTTAGGCTGACCTCCGACGACCGATGTGTGTCAGCAACAGACCAAACAGCCAGACGTGAGTTCTGAATTTACTTTACCTTACCACATCACTAGGCCTCCCAGGTAATTTTACCGCTACATTTAACTCACGAGTATGTATTATGTTCAGGCTATATCCCGGCACACTCATTCTGTAAAATCTATGCAGTGTATGGGAATTCGCCGTCGGCACTAGGGCCACTAATCCCGCAAGTGTGTGTTCGTACGGATGTGAATGACCGACGGTGCTGTGCTCTTAGTGTTCATGATGACCATGGTGTGAGTCAAGCCACGACAGTTCCCATAGTATAACGTTGGCGCTTTTTCTAACTTGAGAGGCTAATGTAAGATTCTTGCGAAGATCTTTTCGGGCGCTCGAATATTCTGGAGACACTGATCTCAGAAAGACATGGTGATAATCGTTCAGCTGTACACAGCATTTCGGTGCCTAGTTGCTATTGCACCCAAAGGAAGCACGACGCCTGAGATAATGACAGCGTGCCCATGCCTATATGCAGAGGTGGGATTCGGACCACAGACTATGCGGTCAGTAAATCTGCGCTTTATCCAATGAACCTGCGTCACTTGTGGCGTAGACGTGACACCAACTTCTCTGTCAAGGGTCGAGTTTAAAATGCTGCGGTGCGCTACATATTACTATACGAATCGGAAACCTGGCCGCTGCGCACCGAGGACGTCAAAAGACTTTCCAGTGTCTGAGCACCGATGTCTTCGGAGCATTGCCCGAATCTGGTGGGAACACCGGATCAGTAATGCTGAAGTTCGTCACAGGAATACGCTCATTTGCAAATCAGTTTGGTTTTCACAAGAGACTCAACTGAATCTCTCGTTTATGGTGTTCACCAACTGAATGTGCTGCACACAGGCCGCCTCATGTTTCAGTTAGTACGATATCCGAGATATTGCAGTATATTTTCATGAAGGAAACTACTCGTCACATGGTATTCGGGAGAAATAACTCTCCCTCAATGGATGAACTGATCACACTGCGTCAGATGCGCTGAATTGGCCACGTGCTGCGTATGTCAGTCGACCGACTTCCTCGAAGGGATCTTCTCGCATAGCAACGTGAGGGGTGGAAGAGAGCCAAAAGCGGTCAAACAATGACTTGGCAGTGAAGTATAAGAGCCATTACCAGCAAAAGCTCCGCTGGTCACTGCCGTCTTCCTGGATAGGAACCACGAGAAGGTCCACATCAATGGTTAGAGACATTGTCAGACATGGCCCAGTCGCGCCCTCAGTGGCGCTCATGCATCCAAGCTATTACCTTCAACCCATAGCTCCCTTCGCAATCCCCCCACTTAACAGTCTACCTACAGTGCTGTATTCATAAACTAATTTATCAGCTCCCGCCTCCAATGCGCAGCTATCTACCCCACCTTTCCGAATCATCGGTGAACGAAACGGTGGCAGCTACAATCACTGTATGACAAGTACGCAGTCATTACTATTAATATTATACTATTATTATTATAGTATTATCCCATTTTTGTCTTAACAGAACACATTACTGAGGAGGTTGACGAAAATCAGCCGACAACCCACGACGCGTTCCGACCAATTTGAGACTCATCAAATAGGTGCAGTCTCCGAGTTTTCGTTAGTCTCATGTTCACCTTAAACCCTAATTGTACCCGATCAACGAAATTGTATCGTCTGCAGACTAACTTGGTTAACAAAAGAGTTAACTAAGTCGCAGCCGAATCTGTCGTTTTTATGATGGTGTCATACATATTGCAGGTGTCCGTAGCATCGAATACGCAAGCGCACACGGAAAGAGGAATCACAAACCACACGCAGAGACGACCAGAGTGTTGATCATCATGCTTATCGGACAAGCACGACTTTGAGGTCAGCACCAGGAATTCATTACATGTGGATCACGTGGTCAAACGGCTGTATCGATCTTCGTGGTCTTAGAAGCCCGGATTGGGAATGAACCGACTGATTTTATCGAGAGTCATACCTACACTGATCCAACTTGTGGTGCATTTCGCGATTAGTTGAATGTGTCGAAAGTGTACTATTTCAACAATGTTGACAGATACGCTCATTTGCATGCCAAATTGGTTTTGGCAAGAGACTCAACTGACTCCAGCAGAATCTCTCGTTTATGATGATCGAGGATTTTTGGCAACTTTCTGATTAGTGTGTTACGTCTAGACAACAAGAAGAGCGCGAACGAAAGATTCAATTAGCACCTGCTTTTCTCTATTCTTCATTCCCCTTAGGTTAGAAGAAATTTGATGGAGAAATTGGCCACTCAGCTGACTTTACACTCCTGTTCTTTTTCGAAATGTGACTGAGAAAACATCCGACAATAATCACTAGTTTGGTGCAGAACACTATCAGGAACATCAGTCCTTCTACTGGTGTAACGGTGATACTACTGATGATGTAGGCATGCGAGTAGTATGTTTTCTCGTAAATCCGCTTTGCGTCTCTTGAAAAATGACATCTATTATGGAATTTGTGGAGTCACTCTGTAGCATTTGCTTGAAATTGACTGACAGTCAATGAGTATCCAGGAAAGTTCGGGAAGACGCGTTCAAGGAGAACATGGATATTCATTTTTTGTAAACAAGATGCATATGAGTGTTTTGCTCCCCTGTCCAATACTCTGTGACTGTTTAGTTGGCATTTTCTAATAAATAACTCAGCAGCGAAGGCCTTCCTTTCACTGGTATACTACTCTTTACGGTGAAATTTTCCGGAGTCTCCCGAAACGGAACAATTCCTCTGGAGCGAATGAAACCGCTTATAGGATTTGAACACGCTATTCTAGGAATGTGTGAGTGTCCCCGGAAGAACAGTTTTGATGGGTTGAAAGGAACCCATGAAGCCAACCAACGGCTAAGATCCAGTAGACACAAGACGAATGGCCCTGAAACAGTGATCCATGACAATGTTTCTGAACATTCCGGAAGCTGACCCATTCTAATTCGGGTGATGGGCTTCGTAAGGTAGGAAGGAAGAGTCAAACTGCCATCCCGGATGGTACGACCACCTCCGCAGTTTTGAACTAGATGAAATCAGTTGTCAGAGACACTTCAAACCGTTCACTGCTGCGTGACAGCGCAAATAACGAAAATCGTGACTGCCATTGAAGATGACCTTTGTGCGGATAGAAAACACAAAGTGCCGACAAACAATCGGAAATCAAAACAAGACCATGTTAGACACTTGGTGGTGAAGTCCAACCTAGTTCGTGCACAGTCCGACTTAAACAAGATGCGACCAGGAAGCTATGATGAATCGACCAGTCACGTACTTAGGAAAACGTGAAAGCAAACAGGCGTTGGCGACTGGTTTCAGTTCAGTACGTGAGGAGCAACTCTGGAAGAAACTCGATGCACTTGGATAGAATAGGAATATGGGCGATATTGTTCTTTTATGCACTTGGACGTGGTTAAAAAAATCAGGTGTGTTTCTCACTAAAAAAGAACAATTTTGAGTGACAGGGTTCGGACCGAAACACCCTCCGAATTGTTTGAACCCTAGTTAGTTAAGCTGATAAACCGCCCGGAATTCGAATGCAAAACCTATTATTCGACAACTGTCGAGATTTACACTGACAGCGTTGGGAGAGAGGCACCAAGCTTTGATTCTTCCTTCCCAATGCCCCTCAAGGTGAACACTACTGATCTTCTGATAGTAGTTTATCGTGGTAGACCCAAAATGTTACTTGCCATAACTTTGATGAGTACGGCCAAAATATAAATTAACAATACTCTAAGCCGGGACAGACTTCAGGCAAACCTACCGCCTGTCATTATCCCACAAACTCTCTACCTACTTACCTACTTACTTACTTAAAACAGATGTTGCAAAGTATGGGAACATGATCTTGGGACGGTCAAAAGCTGAGACTCGAGCGGTGGCTAAGTTTGGTGGGTTTTAGGGTAATTGTGCAACAGTTTCCAGATTTTTGTCGTTTCTGATTGAGAGATCCTATGGTAAATGACGATTCCAACGAGGATAAAACGGAACAGAAGCGGGTGATCAGCCAAGAGTAACGGTAACGAATCCTGCTCAGTTCACAAAGTGACTCGGGCGGACAAGTTCAGATGAAGGTCACTAAACATTTCGCCCACATATTTTGCATCACGCGGTTCTCTACAACCTAACAAAACAACAACGGAGGCTAGCTCACTCTTGCTGGAGACAGTGAAAGTATCCCTTACGTGTGTTTCCTTCTTTAAATGCAGACCACCGCAGCACAATCTTCGAGTTTCCAGAGGGACACGAAAACCGAAAGAGATATGGAACTACCATCTGGTCATTATCCGATTGGTTTTGGACTAGCCAATGGTTTTACGGTAAACTCAGCAACCATCAGTACGGTTCACATGGTCGATCGAAACGCGGGACAGCGAACTACCGGTATAGTTCTTCTTAGGGCTTATCAGGTATGTTTAGTCCGCAAACTTCTGGCTTGAATGCCAATCGGGTAAGTTGTCATTTGGACAAACACTCATCTGGACAGTAAGTTGGTGCGTCTTAAATTCACCTAAACTGCTTGTTTATCATGTCCTTCAACTGCATTCGCTGCACAAAGGCCACTCCAGATCTCAGCTGGAACGATACGTAGGATAGCAAATACTGTTTCAAGCTCCTGTGTCAGTATCCCAACGAGAACTTCGGAGATGGGTGGGTAGGTGGAATATTGAACAAACCAAGTACATCGTGAGGAACCTGTTCAGATGTGATGTGCGTGTATGCTCGCCTTCTGAGTCAGATGTCCTGAGCTCGAATCCGGGCCAAGGATAGGCATTGCTGATAATACGAGTAGGGTTTGAAACCAGTACTTCCCAACTTTGGCACAGACTAACCAGAATAGTGATAGGATAGAATGACTGTTGAAACAACAGTGACATGACAATGGTCCTGTTAGCAGAGAACTCTAAGAGGATGAAGAATACACCAAGTTTCATGAAATTCACGCTGATGCTTCGCGTTAGTCAATGCTGCTCTAGCGAAAGACCCAGCTTCCCGAGGTGCAGTCTCTCGGGGTTAACCTCGGAAGGTTGCGAGTTCGCAATTTCAAACAAGAACGAGACAGATGTCTGAAGGTAATATAGGGAAATTCAGGAGTGCATTCAGAGAGTAGCACGTCGTCCAGAGGTTTACAGGAGAGTTTTATCGGTACTTGATAACAGGTATAACCAAAATCGTCAGTTGAACAAACGACCTGGACAAAGTGAGCGACGCTCATGCTGCGTAGCCTGTTGAAACGATCCAATGAGGTCCGACTCTGTCTACCATCCAAACTGATTGTTGCGTGCTCTCTAGCAGGTCGCACTTGCATGTGCAAGAGCGAGAAGCGCATCACCGAACAAAAGTCGAATGACACTACGACACGAGGTAGACCTACAATCGAGCCCAGTAGTAGGCTGTCTTCACACCTGGTATCAACAGTGCTCCTACTTCAGAGCTTGGAGATTACCTAGGGGTGTACTTTTAGGTTCCAAATGACGAAAGTCTAGGTCCGTATGCGCGGTGATTTCAGAGGCCATCAGTCAATTCACTTCCATAATTAAACATCTGAGATATCTTACCTGAGCGATAGTATAGCCTAGCATAAGATAGAATTCATCCTGTTGGTAAGCTGCATATGGACCAGAGGCAGGTGGGTAGTCCAAAGTTTCGTACTGCGGATTCCAGTCACGCAAATATAAATGGGAGAATGCGAGGCGCGAGTTTTCCCCGAATGATACGTGAGCCGATCGATCCTGTCCGAAAACGATCAACTGATTGAGGGGAGGGAGGGACAAAGAAAATAGATGTTGTGAAGCGTATTGGACGCGGGATCTGGACTGAAAGCCATGGAGCGGTGTACGATGGACCCAGGGTAGTAAAACACCACCCGAATGAGATAGAGTTAGTTCAATGAAGACAAAGTGTTGACTCCATAGCAGTGGCACAAAATCTAATTCACCTCCAAACCGATTTTTGCTAACTCACAAAGATGTTGAAGTCACACTCAGTTAAAGCTGAAAAGCAATTGCATTCATGCAGTTTAGCGTGCAAGTGATGTAGTATTTTACTGGTGAAACGACTAAAACCACTTCTGTCTGTTAGGAAACCGCCTTACCCCTCAACATCAGGCGCCACTACGGCCAGTATGCCTAACCATCCCGTGATTGTTCGGAAAATTGAGACGCTGACCGGTCCAGCAGCAAGGCAAGAGACTGGACCTTATCGCGGTGTGACGGTTTGCGCACCTCAGCGATCCATTGAGCTATACTGGGGGGTGTCCGCGCGACACTCACAGAGTCTCTCATACCAGGTTGGTCAATGGTTAGAGGTCTGACGAACACAGTCTCCTGGCCCTCTAGATTGGGGGTTGGAACATGTATGGCGACTTGTTCCGTAGAAAAGGTAATGCATTTGCATTTCCCCGCCAAACACCGCTGCCTTGCGGTTAGGCTTTTGAGCCAAAGGCTTTGGTTGAGGACCCTAATCGTCCTCCTGTCTAGGTGTGGGCGCCCTGGCAGTATCCCAGCCCTCGTACAACCATG